TAAGACACAACCTATGAAGCTATCCGCAGCCACTGCAGCACGAGTTTGATCCCTGACCAGGTTGCTACCCACATGGCACAGCAGACCTCTCCCGACTCGCCGGCTGCTCCCCTTGTTAGGGGGAAAAGAATGTTGTAAGGGCAGGAACTGGACACGGTGCAGGTTTTCTGATCCCACGCAGACCGGGTAAAGGAGGAGTCAGAGTCCTCAGTAGTTTTGCAGGTTTTTTATTTGGGGTTCACCAGGCATATGGCAGGGGGTACTGGCTGGGGGGCTGGGAGGCTGGCAGGCCTCCCAGCCCCCAGCAAGTCTTCACTCTATCTGAGCTCTCTGGAGTTCCTTCTGCTGCTTCTCGGCTGCCGCTGCTGCTACTGGTGCTGCTGGTGCTGCTGCTGCCGCTGCTATTGCTACTGCTGGCGTCCCCGTGACGCCGCCCTTATAAGCACAGTCTTAGCTCAGCTGAATCCCATCTACCTATGCCCACACCCTATTCCAGGTGCCCGCCATTAGGCATGCATTCAGGACAAGGATCCATCATCTATCCTGATGGTGGAAGGGCAGAAAAGCCTGATATTTTCTTTACCCTACAGATGTCCTAAGGCTGCTCTATAACACCCTCAGCAGTGTACTTCGGTAGATCTGCCTGTTCTGTTCCCTGCTCTGTCTCTGGTGAATCCTCTCACCCCCTGCACCTCTGGCCTGTACCCCAATTCTTGTATACATAAATAAATCTTCAAAAAAATTTTTTTGAGATATTTTACTTTTGAACACCTGAAGGGCAACGAGGAGCCATCAAAAAAAGATCAAGAAGTAGCCAACGTGATTAGGAGAATGAGGGAAGAGCAAACCTCAAACCTAGAGGGTTTTAAAAATGAGAACATTTAATGCCCTCAAATGCTGCAGGGAAGCCCTCAAGGGTAGTCACCAGGCCCTGAACTTAGCTCCGGTTAGAAACTTAGCTTGACCACGGACAGCTGGGCGTACTGCTGCAGTCTGCTGGCAGGCCCACATGGCTGCCTAGCCCACCTCTGAATTCTCTTGAAGTTTCCAGCCCATTGACATCATCACACCTATTACCTGCCCGCTTGGTACTCTCAGCCTGCCTCTGTGAGCCAGGGAGACCAGAGTCTCCTCAACTCCAGTGGAGGCAGGGCACAAGGGAATTAGGCAGCATGGGCAAATGGGAATTTATAGGCAAGGAACAGGGTGCAAAGACAGTGGATAGAAAATAATAGGGATTCTGATTAATCTGATATTACAGGGTTTTCAAGCAGGTCAAGGTCATATATTACCCGGGAGATGGTAGAGGATGAGGAATCTGATCACATCGGTGTGTGTGTAAGGGGGGGGGGGGAGGGAACGGGGGGGGGTTTCTTGCTAAAACTAGAATTTATAAGAAAAGTACACAGAAGTTTCAGGAACCTGAATAAAGATCAGTCAAGCAAAGAATCTGTACCACAATTCAACCCATTACAACTGCCAGATATAACTTGTAGTGGGGTTGGTAAATTTGTATTTTTAACAAGCCCCCCTGGGTTGTATTAACCACCTTTCATGCGGAACTAGCAGGACAAAGAGAACCCAGGGGAGATGGGATTCTGATGTGCCCACTAGGGAAGACTCATAAAAAGGTCGGTGGGAAAAAAAGACTGGGGAGAAACAGAGAACAAAGTAATGTGGAAGGAGAGGGATGTGTTTAGGGGAAACACAAGAGTGGAGAGGGACAAGAGATCTAGTGGACTTTTTGTCCCCCCCAAGGTTGTATGTAGACTAGCTCTAGATGAATCGGTGAATTGTGGCTTAGTCAAGAGTCTAGAGCCTCTGTTCAGAATTGACTTGAATTGTTCTGGAGCTGCTAATAGCTCCTACTCTGATGCTGCAAAGATTACTGAGCCCCCCACTGGTGATGCTAACCTCCCACAGACTCAGCAGAGTTCAATCTCTTAATCACCAAGCTTTTCAATTTTGAAACTCTGCAGGGCTCTGTCCAAGGTCTCATCCACTTTTTCCCTGAACTCTTCCTCTTAGATAATCCGGGGCTTCAGACTCTATTTACATGCTGATGGATCTACATTTGCAAGTCAAGGTCAGAGCCCAACCCCCATAGCCAGATCTTGATTTACCAATTGCTTTTTGCTGGTATATCTGGTAAGCACCTGAAATTTAGTATTTCCAAAACAGAACTCCAGAACTTGTTTGCCTTTCAGTAGTTCTCATTTCAGTTAGTGCCATCACTACACATCCAGTTTCACCAAACTAGAAAATTGGCAGTCATTTATGCTTTTTTCCTCCAGCCAAACAATCACTTCAAATCCTTTCTTTGATTGGCATTCCAGCCACTGCTACAGTTCAAGTACACGGTCTCCAAGTTTGACTATTACAATTACCTCCTAACTAGACATGTGGGCGGTTTTCCCTCTGGGAGAGGGCACACTTTCAGATATGGTCAGTCCTTTTCAGAAACTAAATTTGTGAAAAGCAAACCCAACAACCTCTTCTAATTGTGCCATAAATAAATTGACACACACTTCTTCACTTACGGCCCTAACCACCTTCTCCCTAATTTCCCAAAATTTCTTTCTAGTGGTGATGCTCTTTGCTTAAAAAATATATATATATTTAAACAGGGAAAAATGAGGGAAATAAAGCTTCTTGATCCCCTCCCCGCTCATCCAGGAGGTCTGGAGTGTTACCTGGGGATTGTGTGTACAGGTGTCTTCCGGTAATTCAGAGGCAAATTCAGGTCTGTCAACCTCAGGGTTATGCCATTCTTATAAAAGTCCGACATATTATAAACAACCAGGTTTGTCCGCTCTTTCCCAACCTACTGTAGAGGTGGCGAAAAAGGACACAAAGGGGAAAAAGTAGCCGGAGTCAGCCGGCTGTTGTAGGCTGCAGCCCCTGGTGCGTCCTCACCTGGATGAAAACTCTGGGGAATCTTGAAGCAGAAATATTAAGCATGGAAAGAGCACCTGCGTAGATTAAAAACCCGATAGCAACTAAAAAGACAGTTCAGCTACCAAAAATATTCCTGCCCCAAAACACATTTGGAAAATACCGAACCACTCTAGCAAAGTTTGGTCGGCATCCCTCTACGCTTCCCCATTTTAAGGGAAGCCCTTCCAGAACTACCATAAAGCAAAATGTTTTCCTATTACATCGGTAATGCATTCGAAAGTTGCAAAGAAACCTGAAGTCATTTCGCAAGCCACAGCACCCCACCGATGTTCATGCAAACACATGCAGCCTCAGGCTGCCATGTTTACTTGGACATGTGCACAGCAAACAATGTAACTGAGGGACCTTAAGCTCTCACTTTCTACCCACCAATTAAACGTTCCAGAAACTTTGCGGGACATGTGCACAGTCACTAAGGCTCGTGTTATCGCCCAGGCCGGGCTGAACAATAGCAGGAGACACGGTGGCTCCTGTTATGAAGCAAACGCGCCCTTTGCATTCGAAAAATCTTTTCATTGCAGTAGTGGCGGCTTTTCCTCTCCTGCACTGGTTTTCAAACCGTTGCCACGGTCATTGTCCTGCAGTGCAAACGCCGGGAGCGCTCGGGCTGCAGGTACCAGCGTCCTGCAGAGCGCGGCGCGGCCGAGCCCGGCCGGGTTTTGGAAAACATTCCCGGCCCTTCCAGCGGTTCGAGGAAAGTAGGTGGCCTGGGCGCCAAAGGCTGCTGCCAATGCAACTCGCAACTTTTGAAATCAATCCTTTTTGCATCATGCAACGGATGCCACCGCTCCTCGGGCTTGCAACCCCCCACCCCTCCCCCGAGACCAATCATTGCCGCGCTCGGGCCTGCACATCGCCCCCGCCCCCTTCCCGGGCCGCACGCAGCCACCGAGCCGCTCCGGCCGCGGCCCGCCGCCTCTTAAAGGGAGGTAGCCGGCCCTTAAAGGCCCCTCACGCGCGGCGCACGGCGGAGCGCGGCGGCCCCGTTCCCGGCAGGGGCCCGCCGAGCCAGGCCGAGCCCCCGCGACGCCCAGGCGCGGCCCGGGGCCCTCCGCCGGGAGCGGCATTTTTATTCAGGCGACGCTTAAGGGAGCCCGGCCGCGCCCGGTGCATTGTGGGAGCGGCCCGCGGCCCGTTTTCGGGAGGAGGAGGCGCAAAGCGAACCGGTAAGCGCCTGGCTTAGGGAGGGGGGGCGAGACGCCAGGCTTAAAGGGGAATATTCGTCCGCAGGCCCATGGCGGCCGTGCGGAGCCCCCTCCGGGCCGCCCGGACCCGCCGGGAAGCCGCGCGCGGCCGGCGCTCTCCAGCACTGCCTGGAGAGGGGCAGAGCCAGGGCTTGGTGGGGCCGCTTTAAAAAAGAAGCACCGCCCGCGCCGCCGCCGCCGCGCGGAGCCGGGGAAGGCGGGGGGGAGCAGAGGGCGGGGGAGGAGTGGAGGGGGAGGGCGGCGGCGGAGACGCAGGGGTTAATTTTTTCGCCCGCCGACATTTTTGCGCGGCGGCGGCCGCGGCCCGCGCACGCGGCGGGAGAGCCCAGCCCGGTCTCCCGGGCTCGGCGCGCGGCGCCTCCGGGCCCTCCCCGCCCCCCACGCGCGCTTCCCTCAGGCCCGCGGGGGCCGCCTGGCCCGGGGCGCCCGCGCTGGGGCGGGCCGGGGTCTCGCCGCGGCCGCTTGGCGGTGCGTGGGCCCCGCGCCGTTCCCGCCGCCGCCGCCGTCGAGCGGGCGCGCGGGCGGGCATGGCCCCGCCGGCTCCAGCCGCCGCGTCAGCCCCGCCGCGACCGGCGCGCCGCGCCGCACAAAGACCGCGGCCCGGGCCGGGTCGGCCTTGCAAGGCGGCGGCCTGAGATTTAAGGTGTCCCCGAGCTCGGCCTCCGCGCTCCGGCCGCCGCCTCGACGTGCGCTTCATGGCGGGCACCTGGCCCCGACGCCCTCGTCGCGGTGGCCGCCCCTTTGTTTGTTTTCTGGGCTTGGGGGCTTGGGGGTAGGTAGGTACCGGGCTGGGGCTGCACCCTCTCCCCCCCCCCCCCTCACCCCCCCCCCAGCTTACCGCGCTCCCCCAGCTGTGCACCTCGCTGTGCACACACGTTTAAAACAATTTAAACGTGGCCGCCAAGGAAAGAGTTAACTCCTCTTTAAATATTCATGGCATTGTTTTAAAGGTGTAAACGTGCGGCTGCTAGGTTGAGGTGGACTCGCTTAGGATGCAAATGTCCTGCCCCAGGTCGCTGTGAACTCTTAGCACCCCCCCCCCACTGGCACCCACCTTTCTCACCCCCCACCCCCCTCCAAATATGTATGAATTTATTTTTTCTATGGTTCGAATGTGTGGGTGGCTTGTCGCCTTCCGTTCCATTTGGAATTTTAAGTCCTGAGTGCTCTCTGGACTGATGGTGTTTTAAACTTTTTTTCCTCTACAGAAATTTGGGGAAATCTGTTTCAAGGAAAATTAGTCCTCCAAATTCCCCTCCCGGGTTTGTTTTCCTCTTTTTTTTTCCCTTTTTTTTTTTTTTTTTTTTTTTGCATGGGGATTGGAAGTAGAAAAATAACTGAGTGACTCGTGAGTTGGATTTTATTTTCCTGGTAGGAGTGAGGCGGTGTTGAACGGGAAGCATTTTGGAAGGAAAGGACTCTTGTTTTTTGTTCCAAATCCCTCCAAGTCTAAGTGCTTTTAGACTTTTCCTAACTTTAAAATGGCTTCAAACCGCCCCTGTCGGTAACTTGCTTTGCTCTGCTTCCGCCCGCTTTTTGATCAGGTGGTTTTATTGGGATTTTGGAAAATTTAACTCCTGTACATTTGTTGGTTTCAAACAGAAATCATTACTCATCCCAAATATGTTTTTGGTGAAGACAGTTTGGATTACTGCCCAAATTCGAGCTTTGTGAGATTTATTTTAAATGAGTGATGTGCTTCCCAGGAGACTGAAAACTAGAAATGGGAATTATGTTTTTAAGTCATAAATTTTATAGGGGAAACTGACTCTAAAACTTGGGGTGTCTGTAATTCCATGCCCAATAAAGTATCATTCTGGAGGATTATAAACCCTTAGAAGCATGTGTTAAGTTTTTGGCTTAGCCCTAATGACTTCAACCTTAGAGGAACTTGTTCCAGAAACTTCTGGTGGTACCGAGTAACCATAAATGCTAGTGATTCAGTAAAGTTTAAATTATCGTTTTAGTTCTGCATTGAAAAGCAGTGAGCAGTAGCATATTTTGTCAATGATGTGTGTGTACTGGTTTGTTGGGCGGGATGTTTGCTTTCTAGGAAATAACACTACATTAAAACATCAGAGAATTTTCCACTGCTCTCTTGAAAATGAACCTTGCTGAACCAAATGAGCCATTCTGGTTTTTAAGTTGTGTTCTTTAGTGAGGATTCCTATTAGTTTTGAATCTTGTATACTTTTGGGTCAGAGTGAGAATAGGTTTTTCTAAAATGGGATTTAGCATCATGAAGAATTCATTTCCATCAGTGTCCTTTCCCCATCACCCCGCACAATTTTATTAGTTTTTTTTTTGGTTCTGTTTGAGCTAGCAAAAGAAATCAAAAGGTTGTTATTTCACTGGATTTGCAGTTCTGCTCCCCAGTCTGTCTCTGGTGACTCTTCTCAACCCCCCACCCCCCATCTCTGGCCTGCACTCCAGTTCTTCTATGTAAAAAAAAAAAAGTTATTCAGAAAAGTCACTTTACCAGGAGGTCTAATTTCTACACATAGTCCTTCCAGGTTGACAGATGAAGTGCCTAAAAGGAACTTTGGGTTCTGTGTCATTCATGTCAGCCTGCTGGTCACCCCTCCTTCTTCAGAGGAGCACTTTCTCCTTACCCTTTGGATTCTCAATTATAACAACACTCCAGACACCAGATCTTCCTAGAAGATATCTATAATGGTATAGTCATGTTTTAAAATGGCTTGTTCTAGTTTATGCATCACTGTCACAAACTGTTGTGGCGCTAAACTGCCCCGTCCTTGTGGGCTTAGTTTTTCTCACATGTGCTTTTCACTGTAGTCAATTGGTACCTGGCAGGTACTCCTGAGAACACTCTTAATGGTGTCTTTGTGTTTTGGTGCTCCCAGGTGAATCTATAAAGCAACCAGCTGACTAGAGAAGGAAGGGAGGAGTCAGCTTTGAGGTGTGTGTGCCCAAGAACCATGTCTACGCGGGAGTCCTTTAACCCGGAAAGTTATGAATTGGACAAGAGCTTCCGGCTAACCAGATTCACTGAACTCAAGGGCACAGGCTGCAAAGTGCCCCAAGATGTCCTGCAGAAATTGCTGGAATCCTTACAGGAGAACCACTTCCAAGAAGATGAGCAATTTCTGGGCGCCGTTATGCCAAGACTTGGTATGTGCACCACATTTCTTTGAAGCTTTTCCCAGTAAAGCATCTTGACCTACAGTGAAGGCAGTGACTCAAAAACCAGACTTCACTCCTCCCATGTTGTCTTTTTTAAAAAAAATAAATAAATAAAATTCTATGAGAAGACTCCAAAAAGCAAAGCAGGGTTACATTATTGTAACTTATTTGTAGGAAGTAATTGAAAAGCAAGTAGGTGATTGAGATGATTATAAAACAGTGAAAGCAGTTTTTATTAAAATGAAATTTTTGGTTAGTTGAGGATTAAGCAAGCTCCTTTATCCTAGAATTCTCCTTAAAACACTTGCATTCTCCCCATTACTCTAGGAGTGGTACTTACTTAAGTATTCTTGTGCAGTTCTTTGAAAACAGTGCCTGTGTTGGCTGGGAATTTGGGGGGCCCTCTGCAGTATGCATTGTTTGGAAAGATCTTACGAAGAGAGAGGGGAAACTGCTCCCACAGAGATCGGGAGAAGACTGCGTGCAGTCTAGAATAGCATCTGGAACTGAGCTTTGTGTTTTTGTACTAAATTTTGGATGTCATTAGTGGTTTGCCTTTTCCCAAACATAAAAATCAGAAAGAAATTCCAGACTATTTGGCTTTTGTTGGCTTTTCTTGTATGGTTTGTTATGCAGGATCATGATCACTTTGCCTTTTGAGTTTTTGCTGTGCATTCCAGGAGTTTAGAAGTTTTCTAGTTAGTGTGTGACTTGATCAGCTTTTTTTTTTTTTTTTTTTTTTCTTTTTAAGATTTATTTATTTATTTATACAAGCACTGGGTACAGTCAGAAGCATGGGAGGGTGAGAGAATTCACCAGAGCCAGAGCGGGGAGCAGAGCAGGCAGAAGAACCGAAGTACACTGCTGAGGGGAGCAGCGGGCAGCAGGAGAGGCCTGCGTGCCATGTGGGACCCTCCTCTGGTGGCCGGGGAGCAGCCGGGGATCAAACTGGCGCTGCAGAGGCTGCGGGCAGCTTCGCAACCCAGCGCTCAACCGCTGCGCCACCGCTGCGCAACCGGGGAGGCCCTTGATCAGCTTTTTTACATAAGGTTTTTAATTTCATTTATTTTTGCTCCTTTGTTTATTTTAAAGACTTATCTTGCAACCTGGGTTCTGAACTCAGGGTATTTACTCCTTTCTCCCCTGGCATACAAAGCAGTTGCTTTGGTGGAGAGAGAGGAAGACCCACACCGCACCTCTGGTGCCTGCAGAGAGAGCTTAGTTTGAAGATCTTACTCATCTAGCTGGTGTCCAAACTATAGAGAAATAGCATGTGAACGAGTTGGATTGAAGGTCTGTGCCCATGTCGAGAAATAAGAATATACTGAGAAAGCCCTTTAGTAACTTTGTCAGGAAAAAGAAACTACCATATGGGCAAAAATATGTGCAATTGGAAACCTCATGGATAAAGTAATCATTTCTCTTATGACTTCCCTGTTGACCTTGTGGAGCATTTACTGAGCACTTGGCCATGCCTGGCACTGTTAAGAACTTTGATAACGGCCTGGATCCTTTGGGCTTTGCAGCAGCTCCATGACCCTCAGGAAGGCCAATAACCTGCTCCCTGTCTCTCAGGGTCTGAACTTCTATTTCCTCTACCTGCCATACTGCTTGCCGTCTGGTTTCTAATTCGAAAAGTGTTAGAGGTAGAGGAACTGCTTCAGCTGTAACTCTTAGAAGTGGCAAAGGGAAATGGATGCCTGACTGTATGAGAAGAGACAGGAAAAAGCAGATATAAGAACACAAAGGTGAAGGAGTCTGGTCACAGATGGCTTTTGAGATGTAAATGAAAACTGTGACCCTTAGCCAGAAAAATGCACCCCCCACCAATTTTTGCATTCATGGTAGTCCCTGGGAGCTGATGGACCCCTGACTACAAGCAGTTGGATGCTGAAGGAAGCGCCAAAGCATAGAACTAAAATCTCCTGCAGCAGTGGTGTATGACTAAAATCTCCTGCAGCGGTGGTGTATGTGTTGATGGCCAAGACTTTGCTTTGTAATCACCTTTATAATCACCTCCTGACATACCACTAATTTTTTGCACATTGCTTAACCTCAAGCCTCAATTTCCCAGTCTGTAAAATGGTATAATAATACTGTGTCTAATTGTTGAGTATCAGAAAATACATGCATATGTACCTACTATGTGTGTCTGTACCCACATTCAGAATACATATGTATATGTATATAGATGTATACACATGTATTCACTTGCTTCTGTACATTTTTTTGAATTATAACAATTTTTGAATGTACACTTTTTTTCAGATGTTTTCTAACTAAAGAAATGTTAAAATCGGTGTCTCTTAAAACCTGGTACAACTTTCACCTGGTACTTAGCATTTTCAAGTATTGACTGCTGCTGGTCATGGTGGTAGTGTGATCTTGGGTAATTTTTTTGGATGGGTGGTTTCAGTTTTACTGAAAACCTTCTAGAATTCCCCATCGCTCACTGATAATTAAACGTACGCTGCTGGGTCTGGCATTTAAGACTTCCTCTACTCCCTGGCATTTTCCTTTGTTCCTTCTTGCCCTCTACCTTGACTCTCTTTTCATTTGATACCCTAGTTTTTCATGGCCTGTCTTCAGGCTTGCCTTCTGTATGTCTTCCTTGAAATATGTTGGTGATTTGTTTACCCAATCACTACAGTTATGGTGACTAAAAGAAATATGACATGGTGTTTAATATTCAAGTAGCCATATTAAAAACAACACAACAGGACAGGTGAAATTAATTATATATTTTATTTAACCTAATATGTTAAAAATGTCATTTCAACACACAACTAATCTAAAACATTACTGATGAGATTTTGGTTATCCTGGTACTAACTGTATGAAATCTGGTGTGTATTTTATACTTAAAGCACCTCTCAACTTAGAATAACCACATTTCACCTGCTTGAGAATCACATATGGCCAGCAGCTACCCTGTTGGATAGCACGAGGCCTGGTGCTAGAAAGTGGTGTCACGGTTGTGAAAGAAGACGTGGGTGATATGAGTTGCTCTTCAGCCCTAGGAACGTGCTCTAGAGTCATCAGTTGCAGTGCTCTGATGCTAGGTATAAATAGAAATTAAATAGTTACAAATCAAATATTTAATTCAAAATAAAGATTACCCAAATTAGGAACATTTATTTTTATTTTATTTCTTTAAGATTTAGTTATTTATGTGTACAAGAGCTGGGGTACAGGCCAGAGGTGTGTGGGGGGTGTGAGGATTCACCAGAGACAGAGTGGGGAACAGGAGGATTGCCTGAAATACACTGCTGAGGGGAGAAGCAGGTGAGTCAGGAGAGGTCTACCTGGCCATGTGGGCTGCTCCCTGGCTGGCTGGGGATTGAACTCATGCTGCAGAGGTTGCGGACAGCCTCATAGGTTGCATCTTAACCCCTTGCGCCACCAGGGAGGCCCCAAATTAGGAACATTTAAAGCTAACATTCAGCAACTTAGTTTTTAGTGTCTTTGGTCCTGTAGTTTAATGAAAACCTAAAAGGAAACAATATTCGGCTAGTTTCCAGAGGGATTAGTAATGTGCTCAGAATAACCAGTTGTTGGAATTACCAATTTAGGGAGAGTTGATAGAAGTTACAGTGTCGTTCTTGCCTTACTATGCTTAAGTGCTGAAGAACATTCTTAGGTGAAGCTTCTGGGCTGCTGCACACAAACACACATGCACTCCCTCCATGAATTATTGCACCCTTTCTGTACGGATGAAAACCCTTCACTGGGGAAGTGCTCCACTGACAAATTTGTGAGACGACATTTTGAGACTAAATTCTTCATTCCCTTAACTCATAGTCCAAGAGTTTCTGCTTTGCCTTCTAGTTTAGTAAAAAGTCAGCCAGTCTTTGCCAAGTCTTTTTATTAAACTTGACCAAGACCTGAACAGATGGTGGTACCTGTGACTGGGCCTCTGTTGGGTTTGTTGCCATCTTGGTGCTGAGATACCTGTTTCATTTGCACAAAGTATGAAAGTTGTGTCTCCGTGTTAGTAAGTCAGAGTGATTTGTTCTTACTCCATTGGAATTCTGAATTTGGAGGCTAGCATCCACTCGCTGCCTTTTGTACTCCATCATGATTTTTTTTCTGTCATTTGCTGTTGGACTGCAAAATTTGAAATACTTTCTAGGGGGGCAGAGGATGTCCTTTTGAGTAGGTTTAGAGAAGTACTCTGTATTCAGCTTGCTGTTGGGAAAGCCAGTGTGGATTGGTAAAATGTCTGCTTTTCAGGAGATTTTCTTTTATTTTTATTTATTTTTTTAGATTATTTATGCATAAAAGAACTGGGGTACAGGCCAGAGGTGTGGGGGGTGAGAGGATTCACCAGAAACAGAGTGGGGAACACAACAGACAGATTGACTGAAATACACTGCTGAGGGGAGCAGTGGGCAAGTCGAGAGGTCTGCTGCACTGCTGCACAATATGGGTTGCTCCCTGGCCAGCCAGGGATCGAACTTTTGCTGCAGAGGCTGCAGATTGCTTCGTAGTTCTGTACTTAACCCCTTGTGCCACCAGGGAGGCCCTTTCCAAGTGATTTTAAAAGAAAGGTAACCTGGGCCTCCCCAGTGGCACAGCGGTTGAGCGCTGGGTTGCGAAGCTGCCCGCAGCCTCTGCAGTGCCGTTTCGATCCCAGGCTGCTCCCTGGCCATTGGAGGAGGGTCCCACATGGCGTGCAGACCTCTCCTGCCGCCCGCTGCTCCCCTCAGCATTGTACTTAGGTCCTTCTGCCTGCTCTGTTCCCAGCTCTGGCTCTGGTGAATTCTCTCACCCTCCCCCTCTTCTGACTGTACCCAGTGCTTGAACAAACAAACAAACAAATTTTTTTTAAAAAAAAATTAAAAAAAAGAAAGGTAGCCTACAATAGCTTGATAGATTGTAGACTGATATAGAGAAAGGGACTATCTCTAATTAACCTATCAGTTTATCTTTCTAAATGTTTAGAAACAATCTTCTAAAAATTGAACTATTTCCTAAAGCTTATTTACCATATTCTTACCCCAGTCATAAAGGTGACATGAGCTTTGTACAGGGAAATTTAAAGAATTCCACCTAAAAAATGCTTTTGGGAAACTGTGGTGCTTCATGTAGTGGCCACAGTGCTTATAAACATGCTTGAAGAGAAGGCTCAAACCCCTGTTTTCTTGTCTATTTTCATTTATGACTAGCATGTAGACCTAATAATAGGCTTTTGTATTTTCTGTTGAGAAAACAGAATAATGCCAAAGACATGCTCAAAGGAACTATAGCTACAACAACCTAAGTTCCAGTTATGCTATTATAATTTTCAAAGAAATTACCTATGGTACCAGTTGCATGATAGGGTAATGCAAAGAGAGAGTTCTCTTCAAGGCATCATTAAGCTCTAAAAATTGTACCATCTTGAAGTTGAGTCTTTGTGACTAACAAATTTTATTCTTATTTTCTATCTTAAGCTACTTATGTTTCACATTTACTTCAGTTATGCTTCTTGATAGGAAACACATTGCTTTATTGGCAGTGTGCAGTGTCCATAAGTCTTTTCTGCAACTCTTCTGTTCAGAACATGATGATATAAAATGAAATGTCTTTTCCTTTGATTTTGGATGATGATGATTCCATCTTTGCAGGTATTGGAATGGATACGTGTGTCATTCCTTTGAGGCATGGCGGTCTTTCCTTGGTTCAAACCACAGATTACATTTACCCTATTGTCGATGATCCTTACATGATGGTGAGTTTGACTTAATGTGTTTTGCATCTGGAACTGCTTATTCCTTTGGCTTTGGGTTGTGGCTGGGGTTTGAATAAGTGTGTACTTGCTATGTTTTCGTTTTGTCTGAATTGTGGTCCGCTTGCCCCTGCCCTGACTCCACAGCATCAGTTGGTCCCACCCCCTGCTTATACTTGACCGTACGCAAATGTGGGCTAGTCCCCAGCTACTTTTGTGCACTGAGTATATTCTGTGCAGGAACATATGTTGTCTACTGAGTGTTGACTGACGTTTCTGTAGTTTTTTCTTTTTTTTTTCGTTTTTTTTTTTTTTCTTTTTTTTTTAAGATTTATTTATTTATTTATACAAGCACTGGGTACAGTCAGAAGCACGGGAGGGTGAGAGAATTCACCAGAGCCAGAGCAGGGAGCAGAGCAGGCAGAAGGACCGAAGTACACTGCTGAGGGGAGCAGCGGGCGGCAGGAGAGGTCTGTGCGCCATGTGGGACCCTCCTCTGGTGGCCGGGGAGCAGCCAGGGATCGAACCGGCGCCGCAGAGGCTGCGGGCAGCTTTGCAACCCAGCGCTCAACCGCTGCGCCACCAGGGAGGCCCACTGTAGTTTTTTCTTTCAGTTGACATTTGTAAATCCTACGCTCCTGTGATTCAGGATAGAGATATAGCCATACCCTGTGATAGGACTGATCCTAGATGTTTCCCTGCAGAAAAAAAAGAGCTCAGTATCTCATCACAATTAGACTTCTTGATCATTTATCTTGATTTGATCACTACTGCCTCCCCTATGTGATTTGCCACTGTAGAGTAAGTCTGAACTGCTGAATTACAGTTCCTAACTCCAATCGTACTCTGCTTCAATACACTTCCCAATTGTTGTATGGCTTGGCCAGCAACTCTTTGATCTATCCAAACTTGACCCTTTCTTCCCTTTTTTAAAGATTTATTATTGATGCATAGAACTAGGGTGTAGGCCAGATACGGGTGGGGGTGTGAGAGGATTCACCAGAGACAGAGTGGGGAGCAGAACAGGCAGAGCTACTGAAACACACTGCTAAGGGGAGTAGTGGGTGAGACAGGAGAGGTGTGTTGCACCATGTGGGTCAGTTCCCTTGCCGGGGATTGAACTCAGGCACAGTGGTGATAGTGCTGAGACTTAACCCATATACCATCAGGACAGCCCCCAAACTTAACCCTTGCATCCTGACAGCCAGGTGGAGCTAATGAAGAGATTAGGGACAGCTCATCTGTTCTGAAATACCAGAGGTCTTTGCTGTACACCTAGGTTGCTGAAATCAGGCCATGAGATAGTAAATGGGACTGTGCGGCAGCGGTGTTCACTTCTCATGTGCCAGTGACAAACATACAGGTTCCCAGAAATCTGTTTCCCTCTGCATATCCATCTGTCCTCCTTTAGCGAGAGCCTGCCTATGCCACATTCCATATATCCTGCCTGACCAGGTGGCAAGAGGTACTGGAGTTAGAATCCATCCTGTTGTAGCGTCTTTAAGAGCAGCTGAGAGAGTCCAGAACAGAAGGGCAGTAATCAGTGCAGCCTTAACCAGTGATGTTGCTCTTGTTACAGTGGAAAATGAGTGACAGAAGGCCAGTGAGCTATGCTAGATTTGTCAGGAATTCATAATGAAAATCTAAACAAGCAGTGAAACAAGTGCTGAGAATGATACACTTTGGAGTTTGATTGTCCTTATGTCAGAAGATAATTCTGTTATTTTCTTCTTTATTGTCTAGACAATGACAGCTTATATTTCTAAAATTTCCAGTGGCAAAATCATTATGACTGCATTTCTGATGAGTACAATTTTAAATTTAAATAATAAATTTAATTTATTAAATAAAATTATATAATAAAATTATATAAATTATATTATATAGTTATATAATTATAAAATTATATAGTTAATAAAATTATATAGTTTACTGGGAAATGCTTCTCTCTTTCTGATTTTGGGCCTAGTTTTTTATTTTATCAGATTTTTGTTTCTTAGAAAGAGATTTTCCTATTTATCTCTTACAGCCTTTATTTTTTTTTTTTTTTTTTTTTTTTTAAAGATTTATTTATTTATTTATTTATGCAAGCACTGGGTACAGTCAGAAGCGCGGGAGGGTGAGAGAATTCACCAGGGCCAGAGCGGGGAGCAGAGCAGGCAGAAGGACCGAAGTACACTGCTGAGGGGAGCAGCGGGCGGCAGGAGAGGTCTGCGCGCCATGCGGGACCCTCCTCCGGTGGCCGGGGAGCAGCCGGGGATCGAACCGGCGCTGCAGAGGCCGCGGGCAGCTTCGCAACCCAGCGCTCAACCACTGCGCCACCGGGGAGGCCCATCTCTCTTACAGCCTTTAAAGAAACTACAGACATTTCCTCACACAAGTATATAAACACCATCTACTCCATACCAGTAAAGTCAGCATTTTTTTAGGATCTGTTTGGGATGAGTGACTGTTTTCAGGTTTGCTTTAGGACAATTGTTTTCAGACTTGTTCATTCTATAGCTCTGCCTCCCACACTGTCACCTCCAACCTCCTTTCTCTTTTATCTCCATCTAAATAAATTTCAGGTTTTTCCTAATAAACTGAGTGGGGGAAAAAAATGGACATTATTTTTTTTGTACAAAAATAAGAGGTGGTAACAAGATTATCAGAGAGTGACTGGCCTGGTAGTGATTCTGGAAAGGTAACTAGTCTGTAGACCACAGAGACTGGGACCACATCCCAGTAGCTGCCATTCTGAAAAAGTCCCTGAATGCTCTTGAGACACACCCCATAAACTCTGTTTTTACATGTGGAAAATCCCCTGTTGTCTTTATCACATCTCCCCTCTCTTCCAGGGCAGGATAGCATGCGCCAATGTCCTCAGTGACCTCTATGCGATGGGTGTCACAGAATGTGACAACATGCTGATGCTCCTTGGAATCAGTAATAAAATGACTGACAGGGTAAGTGGAGATCATCTAGCTGCTTGCTGGTCTGTCTGCCTGGTGCCACTTAACTGGTTAGCCTTTCATCTGCCTGTCTGTAAAGGGAGGAACCCAGGCTGCATAGTTTCCATTGTTCCATCTGACGCTTCCCTTTTTGGTACTTGTCAGTGAATTGAAATAGAACTTGGGCCTGTTCATCTTGTCATTTCCACCACCACTTTCCTATGTCTTTCCCTGGTGGACTGAAGCCAAGACATTTCTGTTTGTTTTGATAAAATTTAGGCCATAGTAATAGCACCTCCATGCTAGGCCTGTGGGCCTGGCAAAGCCTCATGAATCCAGGGCACGTGGCACAGAAAGGTGGGTACCACCTCCACTTTGATGGCAGGAAGGCGCCCGTGCAGGCTGGTGCCTCACCTGTGTTCATGTGCGCATCCAGCTTTGCCTGTGGACTTGCTGTCTGTACCTTTATTTGACCTAGAAATGAATTCCTATTTAGATTGTTTCTGAAAGGTACTTGATTCTGTTCTCCCTAGAGAAGTTTATCCTGCTTTATAGAACATTTTTTATCCTCACAACATGCTTTTGGCCCGTTGGTGGTACACAGCCGCTCCAGGAGGGCTTTACTGCCATCTCTTTGGCCAGTCTGCTCCTTGGCAAGACAGGAGCTGACTTGCAGGTAGACAGAGTGCTAAGCTAGCCTGAGCTCAGTAAGGACATCAGTGAGCTGATTCAGATTTAGGAAGCTCTGCAGAGCCAGTCACATTCCAGATTTGACTTGTCTGTTATCTGTATTTCATTCACAGTGTAACCTAGGACATCTTCCAGCTTTTGATAAAATGACTACAGTGTGAAATATTCTCCGGCTTTTGTTACTCCCTCCCTGTCTGTACAATTTCAGGACTTCCTTTAAGGTTTATCCTTATTGTAACTGACTACAAGTGTAGATTCTCTTTTTTGGGTTTTGAACTGAAGTACATGACTTTTATGTTCTTTTATATTCTAGGAAAGGGATAAAGTGATGCCCCTAATTATACAGGGTTTTAAAGATGCAGCAGAAGAGGCAGGAACATCTGTAACTGGCGGCCAAACGGTATTGAACCCGTGGATCGTTTTGGGAGGAGTGGCTACCACTGTTTGCCAGCCCAATGAATTTATTATGTAAGTTTTTGTTTGCATGTCACCTGGCCTGGTTCTCTTCTTTATTGTTTTAGATAGTGTTATTGAGGTAAATACCATATAAATTTATGCATTTAAAGCACCACACGTCAGTGATATTCATGGTTGTACAGCCATCATCAGAGTTGATTTGGAACATTGTCATCCACAAAAGAAGCCCTGTCCTTATCTGTCACTCCTCGCTACCCCCGTCCCTATCCTGGCTTCTTTCACATCACATGATATTAGCTTAATAATTTTAAGTTTCATTCTTTCTGTTACATGGCTTATATCCATACTTCCTGGGGTGGTTGTGTTTTTTTTTTTTTTTTTTTTTTTTTTTTTCCTTTCCAAATTTCAGATTTTCAAAATTGAAGTATAGTTCATATAACAGTTTCACATAACATGTAATTAAACATTTTAAAGTACAATGTTTTAAATTTCATCCGTGTTGTAATGTTTCAGTGTTTCATTTCTGTTTTATGGCTATGTAATATTCTAATGTAGAGACCTGTCACAATTTATTCAGAGCTGATGGACCTTTGGGTTATTTCCACCTTTATGAATGTAGCTGCCTATAAACATTCATGTGTAAGGTTTTTGCTTGAATATATATTCTGATTCTTTGGATATATGCCTAAGAACAGCTGGGTCCTGTGCTCATTCTGTTTAACTTAAGATACCATCAAATTGGTTTCCAAAGTATCTGCTCTATTTTATGCTCCCAACAGAAATGTATGAGAATTCCACTGTCTCTGCATCCTTTCCAGTACTTTCTTTTTCAAAATAGCCATCCTGTTGAGCACGTGGTGATATTGAACTGATTTGCATTTCTTGGTTATTAATGATAGTGAGCATCTTGCATGTGCTTCTTGGCCATTTCAGGATCTTTAGAAACTTTCCTCTCAACACAAGTTGTCACTCTGCATGTTTGGTGTTTTTGTTAAAAGTCACCTGGTGTACTTTCTGAAGGAAATAGAAACTCCATTTATTTTGTGAACAGATGCTGATAAGTCTGCATTCACATGGTTCAGAATTCAGAATACAAAAAGCACCATAGTGCAAAGTGCCTCAACCATCCTGCAGTCACTCTTGCAGCTTGGAGTGTATTTGAACAATCTGCTATTGGGAATTGTGATTATTTTGAATTATTTTGATTTACAAATAGTACCAGTGAGTACCCTTAGATCATTTTGCAGTTTTGTGACTTTATTGGTAAGAAAAGTTTTCAAGAATGAGTTGCTAGGTCAGGCACTGAATTTGTACAGGCACCGAATTTGATGGATGTCTCTAGATTGCCTTTCCTAGAGTCACGTCCCACCAACAGTTCCCCCCCTGTCCTAACCAGCACACTTGGTGAGAATCTGCTTGGTCTTTGTCACTTTGTTTAGTAGTTTAAATCTTGCTCCTTTGAGAAAAGTTGAATGTATTTTTCATATTCATTTCTTTTGTCCATTTTTCAATTAATGGGAACTCCTTTTAGAGTGATTATCTGATAATTTTCATATTAAGGATCTTGCATTTTACTTACATCAGGGTTTCTTTTTCCTATGTTTTATGTCAGTAGTCTTCAAACTGCCCATGTAGTTGTGACAGAAGATTGTAAAGTTTTCATTTATTTTGCCCATTCCATCTTTACAGAAGGAAATTAACTTAGTGGTGGCAAAAATTGGAGGAAAAAAATAAAATGAGCTCCTTTGAATTTTTTTGTCAACAGATTTGTATGTTTACTTTGTAAATCATGAGTGAGCCTCTCTATGTGATTGTATTTTTCATAAGATACTGTTCATGAACTTTAGCCCAGTAATTTTATTAAACTTGATATAAATTTTTATAGGTTGCACATAGCTGGTAATGTCCAAGAGTATATCAGCTTTCAGGATTGGCTAAATCCGAACTGTTAGCTTAAGTCTAGTTTTTGGAAAATGAGTTCCTTGAATATTGTCACAGAATTCTATTTTTCAAAGCTAACAGTGGGTACTTATCCCATATATGATGGGATGAGTTGGAAAGCTAGTTATTGATGTTTAAGTTTGTGCTTCTGACTTTTTAATTGACCTGGATGAGTATTTTAGTTATTTAGTGTCAGGTGATGGATTGGCTATGTAGACAGCTTACACTGAAACAAGAAAGATGCAAGAATTAGACCTGCATTCTTGTAGTGAGGAAGCAAGTATAATAGATTTGTTTGTGGGGCTGGCCTTTTTATTTTAAGAACTGCCTTTTTAGTATTAACCATAGATTTAAGCCAAGTTCCACAGCCTGTGAAAAGAAATACCACATGCACCTGTACCTTACAAGTGATCGTAAAAAAATAAAAATAGCAACTCTTTTTAGTAGCTTTACTGCCTCAGGACTGTAGTGGTCTGAATTTCAATTACAAGCGCATAGCTGACTCTGGACTGGATGAGGCCTTTGAAGGCCAAGTGATTTGCTTCTTTGGACACTTATGGAAAATAGTAATTGGCCTGTCTGTTGAGGTCCATGGAGTCTTCATGCTTTGTTCAGTAGCAGCTTCATTAGCAAGTTACCAGACTCTGATACATGGTAGTAGTTGGCTTAAACTTAGTGTTTGCAGGCACAGATATATTTTTAACACCCCTTTCTTTCTCTAGTTCTACTGATGACAAACGTATTGCCTCCTTTTCTTCAGGCCAGATAATGCAGTGCCAGGGGACGTGCTTGTGCTGACGAAGCCCCTGGGGACGCAAGTGGCCGTTGCGGTGCACCAGTGGCTGGATATTGTGAGTGAGCCAGCCTGTGATGGGGGAGGGGCTGGGCAATACATTTTCAGGATTGGGATCACTTTTTTTTGGAGAGGGGTCATTTATGTTACATGTCAGGTCAGACGAGTATCTCCTGTCTGCCAGGGCCTGGGTATGCTTCTGTACAGAGACGTGTCTGCTCTGTAATGAGTGCCGCACCTCTCCTGTAAAGGGAACCTTTTCCCATATTTAAGATCTAGATAAAATGTCATCAGTTTGTCTTCTCAAAATGACCTCTGTTAATTTTAGCACCAGCCAGGTCCTTGCAGAAATCCTAGGACTTGTGCACACTCTTTTATTAAATCAAAGTTTCATGTGCTGAAAGTCTAACATAGGTAGACCCAGATTCAACTCTATGAAGAGGACTTGGGAGGTAGTGAGTTGGATTTATTTTTCATATCTTATACATCACTGAAAAAAAAAAAATACATGGAGGAGAATGTGAAAACTATCTTGGAAGGAAAGTTCTTCTACAATATGAAGATACTTTTTCTGAGTGTCTTTTCCACTGAGCTATAATCATACTTCATTTAAGATTTTTTTCATTGCTATAACAACTCAAAAATTAATGCTGTGGTATGTTCTTACATATCTTGGTGTATTTAATTTCTGCAACTGTCATCTGAAACTACCACTTGAGAAACAATTGAAAAAAAAATAATTGTATGTTATTCACCAAACAGGTATATCTTAGCCTGACACAGCGGAACAGAGAGAATCTCTAAGGCTGCCACATTCTTTAGTTACTTTCTTTTCTCATCCAGTGATGATGGGAGATTTTCTATCACATCTCTATGATCAGATGGGAAGGCCATTACAGGCTGTAATCAATGTAATGACCTGCTTTCCAGTACAACTGCTGAGGGACTGAGTGATTTAGCAAAGTTGTGGGAGCAGGTGAAGCAAAGAGACATCAGAAATGAGGGTAGGATCCTCCTCTTCTTCCCATCCCAATTTGACGACACTTAAGCATATTTTTTTTTAAATATCATTTTTCCAGTACTATTCTTTTTTTTTTTTTTTAATTAATTTATTTATTTCTACAAGCACTGGGTACAGTCAGAAGTGCGGGAGGGTAAGAGAATTCACCAGAGCCAGAGCAGGGAGCAGAGCAGGCAGAAGGACCGAAGTACACTGCTGAGGAGAGCAGCGGGCAGCAGGAGAGGTCTGCGCGCCATGAGGGACCCTCCTCTGGTGGCCGGGGAGCAGCCGGGTATCAAACTGGCGCTGCAGAGGCTGCGGGCAGCTTCTCAACCCAGCGCTCAACCTCTGCACCACCGGGGAGGCCCTGCTTTTTTTTTTTTTTTTTTAATGTTTATCATTGCAAAAGCAAATTCCAAAGACTGCACAGCAGAATACTATTTTTATAAAGGCGGGGGAATTGCAAGTATACCATTCAGAATAGTTGTTTCATCTGGAAGAGAAATAGTAAGTAGTTGGATAAGAAATGCAGGCAGAGACTTAAGTTATTGGTTGATTATTGGGTATTATTTAAAATAAATGAATGAATGTATGAATGACGACCATTAATGGACTGTGAGGACACCATGTCACAGACCCAGTGTCATGACATTAGATTCTTCCAAAATCAAACTGAGGAAGAAAGGGAAATGCCATTTTCTCCTGACTTTGATGATATCCTTTGTGGTCACCCAAGACCTCATTGCACGTGTGACCCAACTTGTAGTCACTTTCACTTGTTTATCAAGAGGACTTGATCCAGAATTCAGGTAAAGCTAGCAGATGTGTAATTATGTGAAGAATGAAAACCATCAGAGGAGATAGTGAGAAAGCCAGGGATGTTGTTCGTGCTGTGATTCACACCCTTCCTTGGAGGAACGGATAGACTCGCCTTTCGGGGCCTGTGTGCTGCAGCTGCATGTCCCATTCAGTGGCCTGTGAGAGAACAGAAGAGATTCCAGGATGTCTGGAGATTCCAGACATGTCTCATGAACACAAATAATAGTCATGGGAGAAAAAAGCTAGGAAACATAATTTTGTGTGCAAAAATAGATAAAACTCCCCAGAAGATGACTGAGAAAACAGTGTGCTTCCCCCCCATGTTAGAAGTAAAGATAAATTACATTTTTTCCTTTTTTTCCCCTCCCTCACCTATGTTTCTGTTTATAGCCTGAAAAATGGAATAAAATTAAGCTAGTGGTCACCCAAGAAGATGTAGAGCTGGCATACCAAGAGGCGATGATGAACATGGCCAGGCTCAACAGAACAGGTATCTGCAGGCAGGTGGGCAGGCAAGCGGATGGGGCTCACTTCTTGCAAGTTTCAACAAGCTTTCAAACCACAGAGGGCATATTTCAAGCTTTTTCAGGCCACGTATGGTCTCGGTTGCATGTTTTTGTTTTTTTAAGATTTATTTATTTATTTATACAAGCACTGGGTACAGTCAGAAGCGCAGGAGGGTGAGAGAATTCACCAGAGCCAGAGCATGGAGCAGAGCAGGCAGAAGAACTGAAGTACACTGCTAAGGGGAGCAGCGGGTAGCAGGAGATGTCTGCGCGCCATGTGGGACCCTCCTCCAGTGGCCAGGGAGCAGCCAGGGATGGAACCGGCGCTGCAGAGGCTGCGTGCAGCTTCGCAACCCAGCACTCAACCGCTGCACCACTGGGGAGGCCCTCGGTTGCATGTTGAGTTCTTCAGCAACTCTATAAATGCGTTAAAAAAAAATTTTTTTTTTTTTAATTTGGGGAACAGGCTGTGGCTTAGATTTGGCCAGTGACTGCAGACCCTCTTCTGTCGGTCTTGGTTTGAGGTCCTTAGGTCACTAGTGAATCCAATTACATGGGTATTCTTGGCAGAAATGCTTGTTAAAATCACTTGCATTAGAAAAGATAAATGACCAGTGACTCACCTAAAGGGGCTTCTGGGGGGGGGGGGTCTTTTCTCCTGCTCTCCCATCTGTGTACCTGAGTGCTGCAGGGCACGGTGGCTTTACAGTATCCTTATTCCCCCTCCAGTTAGAATGTCAGAACAGGGCCAGGCCCAGAGCAGAAACAGGAACTATGGGTGAATTCATGAATTCAGTTCTGAATCTGTAATGGAGCATTGAGGTGGTATTTTTTCTCTATTCCTTCCAGCTCTGCATTCTGGGATTATGGGTAGTATTGACTCCTTTTGTGGGTCCATAAAAACCAGAAATTTAGATAGCATATTTTCAGAAGTATTGAAATCATTTATTTATTTATTACTATTTATCATTTTGGAGTATGTGTTTATAAACAGGTGGTGACATTCATAGTTGTAATTTCTTTACATTTTATTTCTAGTCTTTAGTTTGTTAATATAATAAAAACTAATAACAATGCTTACCATTTTTTGCAGGTATTATGTACTTTCTCATTTAATTCTTTTACCTTACAAGATAGCTACTGTTACCTTTATTTCACACAGAATTTTAAGTAATTTGCTCAAGGTCACATAGCTAATCACATCTTGGCTAAACACATGATTTGAAACCGTTGTTTGTAATACTTAAGTGTTATGCTCTCTTTCTTTTAGACAGTATAGTAAGAAATTGAGGCGTTTCATTCTCTGTGCAGAGTAATTGAACAATACTTTTGTATGATGCTAGAAGTTTTAAAAGCAGTTTGAAATAAAACAGGAAAGTTCAAGAACCAGGATTCATCTTCTGGAAAGCAAGGAGAGCTTGCTCTAAGGGAGTTTACTAGATATAGTTGAAACATCGTACACTCACTGTTTTTATTGGCTTTGATGCATATAGAAAGTATCAGGTATATGTGATAAAGGAGAAAGCTCTTCTCTTGGGTCTTTTGAAATCCTGACCTGAAATGCCACAGGAACTGTTCATAGAATAGCATTTCTTTGGGTTGCTCTGTGCAGATGATCTGGAAGTTATAAGAGAAGTTAGTGCCTTAGGAAACTGGAATCCCTATTCTTGTCTGTAGGATGTATTGTGGGTATAGCTTCTTGTGTAATATAGGTCTGTCTAGCTCATTTAAGATGGCACTGGAAAATGCTTCTAGAGTGAAAGTCATGACTATATTAAATGTCACCGGAAATCCATCTTGGCCACCCCACTGCACTTGGTATAGATGTACAAAAGCTGTGTCTAGCTACTTGGCCACCACAAAAGGCTAGAAGTGTTGATATTCTCTGCCTCTGTTGTTGAGAATGTACCTAAATAAAAGATCTAAGAGTCTAAAAAAAAGAAACCCAATACTGAAAAATGCTTCAGAGTACATCTGTAAATAAAATATAGGTCATACTTCCTTTCATGAGAAAGGTAATTTAAAAAAATTTTAAATTAGCCTTTCAGTTACTCCCTTAACAGCCCATCCTCCAATGAAATACGTAGGAATAACTCTAACACTAATTCCTTTCTGTAGATTTTTTTAGTTTACTAGAAATGTATTGATTGAAGCTGCTGATGAGTGATTCAAATTGAAATAAGAAAACAGCTTTCAGAATTTTCATTCTGGGTTTTGTTGATTTTTTTTTGTTGTTGTTGTTTTTGGAATGAAAGTTTTTATTATTAACTGTATGTCATTTCCCTAGAGTTCAAAGTGTATTAACAGATTTTGAGTTGAGCTTTTATTGGTCACCATTTACTACAGCAGGTAAAAATGTTTGTGTCCTCTCTCAGCTGCAGGACTCATGCACACGTTCAATGCCCATGCTGCCACCGACATCACAGGCTTTGGGATTTTGGGCCACGCGCAGAACCTGGCCAAGCAGCAGAGGAATGAAGTGTCTTTTGTCATTCACAACCTTCCTGTGCTGGCCAAGATGGCTGCTGTGAGCAAGGCCTGCGGAAATATGTTTGGCCTCATGCATGGGACCTGCCCAGAGACCTCAGGTACGGGATCCTGGGCCCAACTCTGAGGACTAAACCAATAAGACTAACAATAGGAAGAAGCCAAGTATGTGTGCATAAGTCCAGTAAATCTGTGTTATATTTAATAACGGAACATGAGTGGGAGAAGCGGATGAGAACATGGAGAAGATTGTTACTCAGTTTTCATGGGAAACTTTGTATTTGAAATAACTGTTAATACCCATCTATTACATTGAACAGGCTGTATTTTTTTCCTCAAAAATTTATAAATTTTCTGTTCAGAGTGAAATAGAACAAGTAGTATATCTCCAAAGTGCCATTTTTCTTTTTGACCTATTTTTCCTTACCTTAACTCTTGTGCTCCATCCCTTAAAACTCTTCTACCCACCCACCCCCTTTTTTCCAGTTTTTCCTGTGTTTATTTTCTAGTTTCTCTTGTGTCTAACTAACCTGGCAAAAGAGTTGAATCACATGGAAAATTTAAAAAATACCCCTACCTAGACTAATATCCTTTCCCTACCCTGTATCCCCACCAAAAAAAAAACCAAACCTGACTATATCAGACTGGGGTGTACCTGGTCATCATCAGTAATTCTAACAGCTCCCAGAACATCAAAGCCTGTCCACAAATACGTCTCTATAGAAGGACTCTGGGAAAACAAAATTCATAAGCTCCAAAAGGGCAGCTGAGCTGTTGGTTTGTTGAGTAGAACACTGCCTGCCACCTCGTGGGCTGCTGCTGCCCCCTGGTGGGCTTGGGGTAAATATTGAATGAATTAATATTGCCAACAAATTCATTGTATTTTCCCTTATTCAAAAATGAGAAGATTTTGCTTTTTTGTAAAAGTATAGTATATATTAGTCCCTGATTATGTTGTTTCTACATACAAATGCATACATATATCTGTCCTACCTACTGAAATACCAATGAAGGTTTATTTTAATGTATTTCATATTTTTTTCTGTTTGGAAGATAATGACAACCCAAAACTAGAACTTTGCTTGCTTTGGGGTATACATTCTTTCCTGATCTTAATTTGTAAATGAATAAAATACACAAAGTCTTTGTACAGCAGAGAATCAAATTGAAAAGGAAAAGTTCTATTTTGTTTGTAAGTACTTCTTTCAGTGTAGCATGGGAAAAGTATTTACCACATGAGTTACTGAGGTGAGGTCATTTACCAAGGAACTGGTTAATGACAAGTGTGATAAGTGGAATAGATTAGGGCAGACAGCAGGCTTCTCAGGGAAAAGGAAGGGGCAGCTTGTGTAAAGACAGAAACAAGGCGTTGTTGATCAGGGTCTGTGTAGAGTTGTAGGCAGAAAAATGGCTCACATAGCATGATAATTAATGATAATTCTTTTTTTTTTCCCCAGGAGGCCTTTTAATATGTTTACCACGTGAGCAAGCAGCTCGGTTCTGTGCAGAGATAAAGTCCCCCAAATATGGTGAAGGTCACCAAGCATGGATTATTGGGATCGTAGAGAAGGGCAACCGTACAGCCAGAATCATAGACAAACCCCGGATCATTGAAGTTGCACCACAGGTGGCAACTCAAAATGTGAACCCCACACCTGGTGCCACCTCGTAATCTAAACCGAAATAGCTGTTTGGTTTTGTTTTTAAATAGATCTATTTCCTTTATCATCACTTCAATTAAAGACTATAAACAACAAAAATCTCATTGTGTCTACACATCTGGTGACCTTAGGTCGATTTGTGAGTGGATGCAATTAATAAAATAAAATCCATTGCCTTTTTTTTCCTGTTACATTAACTGAAGATGCACCTAATCTTGAGGCAGCTTCTGAGTTGAGAATTATATTGTTATCCAATACTGTTGATTCATTTTGAATCTTTAGACACTTATCTCTTGCCGCATAGGCTCTTTTCAAAGGTGCTTTCACACAGCACAGACATTACCAATAGTAGTGTCAAATAGCAGTTTTTGTCTTCATTTTATGTATATTTATCATTATCAGTCTGATCTTTTTTAAGTGTCTTGAATGAGATTCTGGAAAGGCAGAATTGGTAAGTGACACAATGGGATCCCAGTAGTAAAAGGGTTGCATGATTCCTTTGAGTCTTTGATTTGTAAAGCCTGGTCTCCTCATTCAAGAGCATCTCTTTGACCCAGATCATTTCCCACCAGTGCATTCAGTTAAACAAGGCAAGTGCTTAATTCTGCATGGAAAGCACTTTGAAGATGAGACATTTTATTTTTTTTGGTAGCCTTCCTAATATTTACAGTAATAATCATTAACTCTTTTCTTTATTGATAGCAAAAAAGGATACTTTTTGCAATGTAATTAGATGTTCTATAGTGCAACAAGGAATTTGCCTTCCGAAAGGGGGTTCATGTATAATACTCATTTACAATTCAATATATAATTAACTACACAAATAATTTTTAAATAATAATCAATAATAAAGACTGTTCTGTGGATGGTAGTGTTTAATACCTTTTACATTTTGTATAGTGATTTCAGGCCTTTTGTTTTCTTAAAATCAACAGCTACTTAGCCTAATTCTTAGCATTATTTTGTCCTTTGTGCCAGTACTTTTTTGTGCACGCTTTTTTGTGATCTGTTAAAAATCTGCATTGCCAACATTGCAGCTCGAACTTAAACTTGTTATTCAAATAAATATTTAATTTTTTTTATTGCTCTTGTATAATCAGATGCCCCCTTTTAGTATTATTTTAGAAGCATTGGGAGGGTTTTGGCTAAAGTACAGTTTATTGGGGAAAACTAGATTTTAGTTTTATAAAACTTTTAAGTCTTTCATGGGACCTATATTTTCTTGAATTAAATTTTGTAGTTCTAGAACAAATAGGCAATCTAAAAAGGTGTTTATCTGTGTTACTTAAGTACAGAGGCTTCCTTATATTAACCTGCTAAGGGATAAGGAGCGATTTCTTCGTTAAGCACAAGCGCACTGACTGCTCACGAGTCCACATAAGAGAAAGCCTGTCACCTCGAGTTCCTGAGTGCTTCCTGCTCACAGGCACCAGAGCTTGTAAATCCATCACCTTCTTGCCAAAGGAAACTATGATTTGGAATATGAAACCCTGGATGAGGCTTTCACCAACTCGCCCTCCTTCAGGAACCAAAGGGCGGCCTTTCCTGTGTGGAACTGGAACTCAAGCCATAAGCCCTGGTGTGATACCTGAGAGGCTGCTACCGAACTGAGATGGACGTTTTATAGGAATTTATACAGATGTTGGTCCTCAAAAGCTACAAACCAGTGGTCTGCAAAATAAAATATGTTGGAAACCTCTGCATAAGATAATACACTGTTGAGCTTTTTGTTTTTGTTTTAAATACACTAGTGCTGACTAAATTGGAACTGCTTTCAATGTACATCATGTCTTGAATGCATGTTTTTCTCGGCAGGCCTACTGAGAGGAAGTGAGCTAAATGGATTACGCATTTGAGGAAATCATCTTCATGAACTCATGTTTATAGAGAGAAGATTTTGGGTACTTAGAAGTTCATGTAATTCATTTGATCCAAGGAGGAAGAACAGGTCTTTGTAGCCCTGTTTTCCAGAGGGTGGGTCACAGCCATCTGCATTAGAATCAGACAAAGGCAAACCCCACCCCAGAAGGACAATTTCAGGGCACAGCCTAGGAGATCCCTCTTAAAAGTTAGAGCCACTGTGGGCCTCCCCTGGTGGCTCAGTGGTTGAGCGCTGGGCTGCGAGGCTGCCTGCAGCCTCTGCAGCGTCGGTTCATTCCCCGGCCGCTGGTGAGGGTCCCACAAAAATAAGAGCCACTGAGCTGTGTGTATGGATGTTGTGTAGTTCTGGGAGAAGCCAAGGAGGGAAGCAAAGTGGACTTAACAATACAGGTTCCCAGGAATTGTCTCAAATCTTGACCCTTCGCTGACAACTAGGCTCAGCAAAACAAAAAAACCCAAGTATCTCGAAAGTTCCTTGAAGAATCAGGTGATACTAAGTATTGCAATTCTTGGCAAAATCTACATCGAATATTTAAAAGTTTGATGTGAATCGTTAATAAGTATTTGGCTTCCTGATAGCACTTTTAAAACTTCACACTGAGGTGTGCTTCTCTTAGTACTTGTGATTTATTTCCTTTAAACCCCATGCTGTAGTTTCCCAAAATACTTTGTTAGCACAGATCTAGGCGGTAGACAGCCATAGGAATGCTAATTTTTAAGAGGCGGAACCCTTGATGGGGGTGGTGAATAATTCAAATAACAGAAGTTTGCAAGGAAAAAGCTTGTTAACTTGCACATCAATTGTGATTCAGTTCAGGAGAAAGTACTAAAATATGAAATACTGTATCAGCAAGATTTATTTTTTGGCTCGGTATATTAAAATAACCTATTGTAGTGCCCAAGTTCTGTATGCCTTATGATGAATAAATTGGAGCATTTAAAATGGTTCTGATTATAGATGTATGGGCCAGCACTTTTCAGTCTGAACTTTGCCTTCAAAATAGTTATGCCTGAATTCTAGGTTTTACAGTGTTATTCTGTAGAGACCAGGCTACCTATATTATACTATTTATTTTTAGAATAAAGCAAGCATAGATATTGATGCTTCAGATGCTTAGCTGCTGTGTGCGTGTTTGTGTGTGTGTGTGTGTGTGTGTGTGTGTATCTCCTTGAGCTCATTTCCATACCTTTTTCCTCTGGGTTAGGTGATAGTTGTGTAGACAACATAGTAATTTGTACCTTTTCTCTACGTATGAACCATGCAATTAGTAAACATGCCAGGGACCACAGAGGAAACAAAAAGGTTCTAAGTCCTATAATTAAAATGGAATGTGGTGACACGTTGCTTGTGTCTTAGTGTCTTGGATGAGAATAGAAATGGGAGGATTGGACATTACCCTTGCCAAGTAAAACAGTTGGTCAGACAAGTGCTCATAGGTCTAGACATGTTCAAGCACTGGCTGGAATCTGAACTTTCCTGTTGATATCAGTTGCTTCAGGGTAATGACACGTGGGTTGTAGGTCTTGGGCCTCTTCTGTGTAGGATTTCCTGTATTTCACAATGTTCTTAATGTGGTATTCAACTCTGAATACACAGTTGATGTTTCCAGGGGTTTTTGATGGTCCTTTCCAGTCCTGTTGCTTCATAAGAGTTTTAAGCTTGGTAGAACTGCATAAAATGAAGGTCATCAAAGCTTCATGGGAGGAAGTAGGAAATTTGCTAGTGATCTGATTGCAGAAAAGCCCCTGGATTTTCTGTTCTTTCTATTTCAAGAAAATGAGTATATACACAAAGGTTTTTTAATTTTTAAAAATTTACTTATATATGCATATAAGAACTGGGGTACAGGCCAGAGGTGGGGTGTGTGTGAGAGGATTCACCAGAGTCAGAATGGGGAGCAAAACAGGCAGAGGAACTGAAATACACTCCTGAGGGGAGCAGTGGGCGAGACAGGAGAGGTCTGCTGAGCCATGTAGGTTGCTCCTGGCCGGTGGGGGATTGAACCGCTGCAGTGGCTGGTGATAGCTTCACGGTGCTGTTTTTAACCCCTGCGCCACCAGGGAGGACCCCACAGAGGTTTAATGGAGACCTAAGGATAATTAGCAATTACTAAGTCCCGTAGTTGGCTTATTTCTTAAAGCAGAGTTGTTTAAAATTGGTGTCTAGAACACAGCCATGCTTTGGTTCATTATGAAAATTTCAAGTTACAGCAGTTGAACCCTCCAATTTTTATTTTTTATTTTTATTTTATTTTATTTTTTTAAGATTTATTTATTTATATAAGCACTGGGTACAGTCAGAAGCGCGGGAGGGTGAGATAATTCACCAGAGCCAGAGTGGAGAGTAGAACAGGCAGACTGACGAAGTACACTGCTGAGGGGAGCAGCGGGCGGCAGGAGAGGTCTGCATGCCATGTGGGACCCTCACCCGGCGGCCGGGATTGAACCGGCGCTGCAGAGGCTGCGGGCAGCTTTGCAACCCAGCGCTCAACCGCTGCGCCACCGGGAAGGCCCCCATTTTTATTTTTTAAATAAGAACCTAGTTTATTTCAGCACATAAAGTAATGCCAAGGGATCAAGCATACACTAGAGACAATTTCTCCAATACTAGAACAGACAGCCCAAGCAATTAAAAAAATTATAAAATTAGCCATCATCCACCTACATCAGTCCAATAGGTCTAGTAAATCTACTTAAGGTCCCCCCCCCCACTAACCGGTGGCAGAAGCAGGACTTCCACACTGCTTTTCCTAGTGATCAGACTGCCATGTTTTCATGTTGGCTTTATAGTTTCAAGGGAAGGATAAAAGAGAATTTCCAGCGTGTTAAATAAGAGAGGTAAGTAAAATTGAGTACCAAACAAGATGGGGCTTTTTCAAAATTGGAAAATACTATATACACATATATATTTGTGCAAGCTGGTTCTCTTCACTTAATACATTCTGGACATCATGTCTTACCATATTGAATGATCGGAAGAGTCCCATCGTTTTAGCCCTCCTGTACTATGCTGGAGATGCAGTCATTGAAATATAGACAAATGCTGAAGGTTTCTAGTCGTCTCCAGTTGAACACCTGAAGTTTTGTTGCGTGCTAATCTTTGAAATGTTGAAAATCTAAATGTTGTACTTGCATTCCCTAGCTAATAAGATTTGAGGCTTTTTAAAAGTACCTATTTACGACAGCCCCCCGTGGCAAGTCCTCTAGAATTCATTTCTGTTTGAGGCAGTAAGCGTTGGTGATCACAGCTATTTGCTGAATGCTGTTGGTTGCTGGGAAGGAAATGAAATGATGAAAACAAACATATCCCTAAAAACTACTGCTTCTCAGAGAGTAAGGATTATTCATGACTTGGGTGGGTGGGTGAGGGTAGGTGCCTACATCCAGTCTCTATTGCTGCTATAGCGGGTTACTGCAAACTTAGAGACTGAAAACGACACCGATGTTTTACATTACAGTTCTGAGGGCCAAGAATCCCACCATGGGCCCCTGGATTAAGAACTGGGTTTGGCAGGACTGTATTGCTCTTCAGGTTCCAGGGGATAATTCACTCCTTTCCTTTCCCTTCTCAGAGTCTAGAACCCACCTGAATTCCTTTGTTGGGGGCCCTTGTCATGTCCCCAAATCCAGCAGCACAGCATGCCTGACCTTTCTTCTATCACCTTGTGTTTCCAACCACAGCCAGGAGAGTCGCCCCACTTTAAGGATTTGAGATTAGATTGGGCCCATCCTGATAATCCCCCATCTCAAGGGTGAGGGCCCTAACCCTGGTGCATTTACAAAATTCCCTTTGCCATATTAGTCAGCAGCTTTAGATTACAAGGATTAGGACAGGGACATTTTGGGGAACCATTTTTCTGCTTCCCCCACAAGGATCTTGTAGGGTAAGTGATTATCAGGCTTTTCTGCCCTCCTGCCATTGGCATTGATGATGGATCCCTGTGGTTCTACATGCATGCCTGATGGCGGACACCTGGAGTAGGGTGAGGGCATGCATAGGTGGGCACGCATAGGTGGGGCTTATAAGGGCGGCGTCATGGGGATGCCAGCAGAGAAGGAACAAGAACAGAGCAGAGAGAATGCCAGTGAACCCAGAAAGAATGAAGAATCGCCCGGGGCTGGGAAGCCTGCTAGCCTCTCAGTGCCCTGGCACCTCTGCCTGCCATGTACCTGGTAAAAGCTCAATAAAAGCCTGAAA